GAGGGAGGGCCTCAGGCCTATTCCTGTGCCTAACATTTTGTGCTGATTAACTTAGTGCAGTCCTCAGCTCAAAGGTCAGGCTCACAAAGTTGCTCTTTGGTACACATCATGGCCACAACACTGCACATGAATTTGGGGACAAGTCCAAGGTGAATGTTTCTCCCAACACAGGAACGCCTAACTGCTTATGCTTCTGGGCAGCAGCTTGTCCCTTCTGGACACTTGAAGCCTTCATACCTGTAGCAGTAATTGCCTGGATTGTGTGCTCATCGATAGCTGTAGGTAGTTAGTAACTCTCTGCTCTTGAAAATACCTGCAGAGGGGCTCAGGATCACTCAGATGTTGAGAAGAAGGTTGCACTAACAGAAATGTTGAGGCATACTTGTATATAGCGACCTTTAGTTCATAATAAAAATTCACTATCAACACGTATGGGAGGTTTAAGAGTAGGTGAGTGCTAGACAGCTACTTCTGTGGCCTGAGATACTTTTGCACCGCTGTTGCTCATGTGGGGAAATACACGGTTGTTGGGACCAGATGAGTTTAGGTGCCTCCAGGGTGGTAGTGCTGAGTAGGCAAAGTGAACAACCCTGAATGTTTACATGCCCATGCTTCACTTATTACTGTTTTACATGACTAAATCTGTAAATGGCTAGCTGCATTTCTAAATTTGTTTTTAGATATGTACTCTGCAAACTAAGTCAAGAACGACATCCCTTATGGTTTTACCTAGACTGGAGCAATTCGGCATGTAAAGGCACCAAGACCTTAGCTTTTAAGCTCTCACTTGTAATTTCGAATTACAGATCCACCCAGGTGATCTGTTACCTGCTTGCCCCTAGGTTTAATACACAACCTAATTGATTTTTTTTCACCTTAATACTCTTACACAAACAGTTATATCTGTACAAGCTGAAGAGGAGCTGCTATTTTTCTAGCTTGATAGTTCTTTTTCCTGACAATGCTGATGGGAGAAACCTCATAAGAGAAATAGGAAAGAGCAGCAAGATCTTGGGAGAAAACCCCAAAACATTCCAAAAAAATAAAAAAAAAAAGAAAGAAAGAAAAAAAGCAAATCCATTTTTTTTTTTTKTTCTGCAGTTTTTCAAGTCTTGCAGAAAGAAACTTTCCCAGGAGCTCATGAGACCATGTGCAAATCCATTTGTCTTTTGCATACAGTAGTTGCTAAACATATATAACTTTCAAATCCTCTCTGGGAAACAAGTGACAGAGACATTCAGCTAACCCAAACAACACATTTCCCAATAAGTGCTGTACTGTCCAAAGGCCTTTAGATTGAGTAGTTAAATGTCCCCTCATTTAGTGATATTGAAGGAGCCAGGACCAGTGGATGCTGGGAAGCTTGTCTACTTACAGTCAATATAAATATTTGTAGATATACTGAACAGAGAATGAACTCTGCCAAACTTTTGGCTCCTATTTAACCAGAAGAATTTCTCTCTCAACTTAGTGTTCAGCTAAAAAAAAAAGAGACAGTGAGGAGTTTTAGGCCTTGTCTGCCATGCAAAGTTCCACTGAAAATTGATTTAAAATAGATCAAATTAACCCAAAGTACATCGCATGCACTTATATCAATTTACACTCTGCATTTATTGAATTAATTTAATTTTAAGTCAATTGAAATATGTCTATTTCAGGGGTTAGCACTGAGTGGAACAAATCGATTTTGAAATTAATTTTAAGCGGTCTCCTTTTCTAGCATAACTCAGTTTTATAGAGATGTTAGTTTCTATATATTAATCTCAGTAGAAATTCTGTGACCATACTTAAAGAATATTCTTTCAACAGAAATCAATGGCAAAACTCTGACCAAATTCAATCATCTGCATATGATTAGCTCTCCAGTAGTACATACATACTATTCTGCTGTATAGTGAGATCGATATTGGCATGTAGATTTTGTAAAAGCTTTTTTCATAATGGACTTTTGGTTTGTTGAAAAAGAAATTGGGGAGCTCTGACGAGTATATGTGTGTGCGTGTGTGTGTATATATACTTTAAAGAATTTGGATTTAAATGTAAGCAACCTCCTGCAATGTTGTGATTTTTTTTCACAGTAGGACTTCTTTGAAGATACTAGAGAAAAAGAAATCTAACATTAATAAACAGTATTTATAATGTCCAGGTCCATAAAAATTTAGGTTGGTTCTGTACTGGAATGGCTTTATGAAATAAACATTTAGTTTTTCTTTCCAGGTAAAATGAATTTAGAAAAAAAAAAAAAAAAAAAAAAACCAAACAACAACACAGCTCTGTGTTTCAGAAAATTCTTGAAGATACCAGAACAAGATACCACAATTTATGGCAAATACTTCGAATGATCTCCAACTAGATAGTGTTCCTACCCCATCTACCCTCGCAATTGTCCAGAGTTCTGACTGTGCTGCCTAAATGCCCTGACAAATCACTTCAAACATTATGCAAAGCCCCAAACAAACTCCTGAGAACTATTTATACAACATGCAATAGCCAAGCAGGGCAATAAAACAATGGTTTACAAGAAGCCCAAATAAAATCCAGGCCTGTTCTAAGCAAGAAGGCCTGGGGCTAGTCAATAGGTCAACACTCCCACTGCAGAAAGAGGACAGCTAAAGAAGACAAAGGCRAATGTGAATAAATCCAAGCAAACGAAAGCTGGTGATTGTGTTCTCATCCACCTAAGTCCTTGGACTGCATTTGAGATAGTGTTGTGCCTCTCCTTCTCCTACCTTCTTTAAATTCTTCTAATCATTTTAAATTTGCATAAAATATGGAGTAAGCTACATTTTAAGAAAATAGAAGTGTTCTCGAGTTGACAGTCAAGGAAACCTCTATCTTATGACTGTATGTGTTGTGGTTAGACCCTTAACAATTTATTCAGTGGGAAAAATTCCATTGAATTTAATAGCAACAGGGAGGGCCCAAGCTGCATTTTCACAAATCATATCAAGACAGTTTATCATTCAGCGATATTGGCTTCTTATCAAATGAATGTCTCTTAATTGGGTCATAAGGCCAATTGTTCCCTCTGATACTGAGAAATGTTGGTGTCCTTTCTGAAAAGAACATCAAACTTGGATACTCTAACTTTTATGAAATAGCCTTAAACCTCACACTTGCTATACTGTTGCAATGAATTACATTTTGAGATAAAAATGTTCTTACATGTCCTATAAAATAAAATGTTATGCTAGAACTCTTCTAGTAGTGCTACTACCAGCTTGCAACTCATCTTGAGGTGAATGTAATCACCTGGATAGGATACAATCTGAATGTAAGCATCTGTGGTTATTTCATATAAAAAAAGGCATTTCCAAAATGGTGAATGAAATACCTTGCTTGAAATTCAGTTTGCATTGTGAAACTAAGGGATTTATTGCAGCAAGAGTATGCAACACTAATGGCACTTATGAGCTAAGCAAAGGGTGCTCAAGAAGCATTTGAACAGGATGGTAGTTGCATGACTGATTTGAAAAAATATAAGRATGTTTCATGGACTTTTGCATAATTTGAAAAATTCACTTCCCATGCATTAGAGCAAAATTGGAAGGTTATAAAGATGGAAAACCTGTGTCCTGATAAGAATTACACTATAGAAAGTGCTATAGTGTAAGACTGTTTTCACATTAATCATTCAGGATTTGCACATACTTCATATAATGCAAGAAAAGTCTATTATCATTAATCATGTTTTCACATTGTATTGACACTGCAGGTACAGTACTATTACTAGTAGTACAGTTCGTGGTCTGGGCAAACAAAGCTTAAGGCAAGCAATTTTTTTAAATGTGACTCAGAGCGGTTAATTTATGCATAAGATGGTAGTCCAGTCCTGGAAATGTGGACCCATAATAAGATTTTGCTCCTAATCTTCACTGCCTGTTATGTCTTTCATATAACTGGGGATGAAATGACATGACTCAGTGCATAGAAGGCTATTCATTTTAATGCTTTTCAGTTTAGAAGAAGCAGAAACTTGTTTCATAGCTGTGTATGTGCTGTATATACGAAGTATATTTTCTCCTCAGTCACTCCTAGACAGGTGGTCACCTCACAAGACATCACAGTAACTGGCTTGAAAAATACCCTTGTGTCTCCCAAGAGGGAGGACAATAATTAACAGCATATGGAAATAGCTGCTTTTACCACAGAGATGAAAGGTACATTGGTAAAACAGGATGTGGGCAAATTTATGCTCCAGTTGTCTCTGTCTGTGGTTTGTGTCAGTCCTTGTTTGAAGAGGGGATTCTGGCTTATGCTGTGTCCAGATGATAATCAGAATAATTAATGTATTTTTGAAAATTGAAGATATGAAACAAGTTTACAACTAGAGCAGTTCATTGACCTCGTGGTCAGAATCTTGCCTAATATAATTCCATAAAAATAATTTACAGAAGATATTTTTATTTTTCATTCCACTCTACTCAGAAAAAGTGGTTATACACATATTTTTCAATTAATGTACGTTCAGGCATTGTTTCCCAAAACCTTGTCTAGAACCTGAAAAGTTAGGAAATATTGGAAAAATAGTGTGTGATTTGTGAGAAATCTTGGAAGGGTCAGCTTCTAGTTGCTACTGTCACCAAAAATGTTGCAATTATGAATATTAGCCTGAATTTCTCAAAAGCTCTTAACTTTAAAATTTATGATCTCACCCAGAATTCCAGAGGACTTCAGATCAGATTAAGAATCTTTCTTTCTTTTAAAAAAATGAGTAGGACGTGAAAATGGGCAAATAAGTTTTACAATACCCTATCTAGGATGACCTAAATGCCATGCCTATGCTTGAATTCATGTATTTTATACAAAGAGAGGCAATGCTTGATAAGCACTTTTATTTGGTAATTACATTTTTTTTTTACATTTGCGAGTAAAACATTAATATCCATCTTGAAGTAATTTACTGACACATTATAAATTCGTCAAACGCTAATATGGTACACTGCTCCTCATTTCCTGTTTACTAAATAGTCTTTGGCTGTCTGCTTTGTGTCTTTCAGGTTGAACTTGGAATTGTTCTCTGCCAGAGATGTCATGGAGTCTCATGTCAGAGTCCTTCACCTAAAGGAAAACGTTGCCTCGTTGGCTCGGCTCCTTGAAAGTACAAGCCATGGTGGGTTTCCAGTGGTCTACAGGCCCAAATCAGGCCATGCAGAGGTGTTCCAGGGAACTATTAAGAGGTAAAGGCACCACCCAATTGATGTTACAAGATATTTAAGGCAATTTTCAGGTGTTTTCTTTATGCACATATTTGCATATATCAAAATTATGTAGCATAGATATGAAGCTTACTCCTACTTTCCTTGAGAAAGCTTGAAAGGGATAGTTGTCCTTCAGAGCCTTTCATGTTCACTAGAGTAATCTTTTAAGAGAATTTTGATCTAGCAGCTCATGAAATGTCAAGTGTCCATTTGAAGTTGGCCTACTCATTCTCTRCATTTTTCCCCTTTACTGGTGTATGCTTTCACAGGAAGTGAGTTAACGTAAATCATATCACAGACTAGATAAGCAGCAAAATCACTGGAAGTGACGCTCTACTGTAAACGAGAGTTAGGCTAAGAGAATCCTTGCAATGCTGGGAACTCTTAAAAAAAACTATCTGATAAATAATGTTTTCCTGGTACTCTTTCATACATTTACAAGAGTGAATCTGATCTTCCAGAAATGAACTTTAGGACTGTCCTTTGGTGAGTTATGAGTAGAACAGAAAATGACTTAATTCCCATCTTGGATATCCTAGAGGAAAGAAGACGCATATGCAACTGCCCAGGAATTCACACTACRATGTCCCATTATGCTTCCAATAACCATAGCACAAACACTTTGTCAGTTAGTTTTGTATTTTAATATCATTATCTTTCATAATCTGCATAATATCAATTGTCCTGAATGATCACAGTATTCTTGCATCTTTCCTAGTAGCTTTTTTTTTTTTTAAATCCAATTCTTGTTTATCCTGTTAATTGGATGCCAGTTGGGAGCTATCTGAGAGAAAGAAAACAAGGGTAAAAGTATTTTCTTCTTTCCAATAAAAAAGTCATCAGTGGAAACTGCTTTGACTTGTCTCCTCGCCTGCTTTATAAAAATGTTTTAAGGATGAACCACTAGCAGCTGGATCACACCAACCTACCTCATAGCTCTAGTCAGCTGTAGCTCTGGAGGATGAAGAAACAAAAGGAGTGAATGTTTAAAAAATTGTTAACTTGCCTCACTGACAGACAAAACACTTGCATGAACCTTTTAGGAAGGGAAATAACTGCTTGGAATGAGTGAATTCTGCAATAGGATTTGTTTGGGTTGCAGTGATCTGGAGGAGAAACAGCATCAGTAAGTGCACTATCATACATGTATACTTGTTCTCTCATGGTGTTGCTATTGTAAATGTTATTAATAAGAGATGTGATAAGGCACTAAAACCTAAATATCTGGGTGACAATCTACAGTGTGCCCTGATAGGGAGATGGTATATACCATAAACTAGTGTACCTTTTAGTTCTCAGCTGTCTGTGGCAATAAAACTAGAAAACATGCTAACAACTGATCCAGCCAAATTTCCTTTTAAATTCAATTTATAGTCTCATCAGTTACTTGTTAATTCACCAAATATGAGGCAGTGAGAGTTCCAGGCTGTTGAGAAGTGTGTTGAGTTTATGTGAGTACTGTAGTGCTTTGTAATGCAGAGCAGAGCTGTGTGGAACTAAGCAAAAAGATGGAAGGGAATCCTGGCCCTTAGCACATCCCAGAGAGAAGCAGCTTTACAGAAAACATGACGTTACTTGATAAACCTGGTAGGTCATGGTTTGCTTAAGCCTCAGAGCTTTTTTGTGAATAAATTCTGTTAGACTATTGTCCTGAAAAAAAAAAAAAACCAAAAAAAACCACCCCACCATTGGAGCTTTAGATGGCATGACTAAAAAAACCTATTTTCCCTCACTTCTAGCATAAATGAGGAAAACCAAAGAAAAGCTTTTAATAGCTGACAAAGAAAAGAAATAGCAGAGTGGTTTTTTTTTTTTTTCCTTTGGTTGGGTAAATATTTATTGCTTAATGTAGTAAAAACCCCAAGGAGAGGTTGCCTGGGAGCACGTACTGCATTGTGGTGTGCTAATGACACAGCCTTCTTGCCCCAGTGTGTGTCCAGCAGTCTGAGAACTTGGGTGGTGAGTTCTGGGTGCTACCGTGCTGGGTAGAGAGTGACTTTGCTGTTTGACTTGGGCCTCTCACCAGCACCGCGAAGCGAATGCTCTATAACTGTCCTCTGTAACAAACCTTCAAAAATGTGATGTGTCATGGAATTATCATATTCATAACCATAAGCAGTTAGGATTTTCCATCTTACTCATAAAATTACAGCTCTAGCAGCACGTAACTGTTAAGACCAAGACAAGAAATGTGATTCTCATACTGCATGAGATCTAGCACAATCCTGTGGGGAGGTAACATTGGGTAGAAAAATATTAATTTGTTTTTCCATCTTATGCATTAGCAATACCACTGCTCCATGCTTAAAAGTGAAGGAAATGTAACTYAGCTGGCATGTTTTAAAAAAGGTTAGATGAGGAAGAGGCAAGAATATTTGCACCAGTGTTTTTCTTGGGAACTGGTTAGGGCATTATTATTGATTCTCCAATGGGTTTCTTCTAGCACAAAAATGTTTGTATTAGGTTAAAAATGATGGGGGCAAAGAGCTAAGGAAGGAAAAGAGATGAGCTATCTGCTGAGCTCGCAAGATCTGTACAGGAAAGCAGCAGCAGCTTATAACTTTTTAATATTGCTTCTTGCTTGCATTTTTGTGCTGCTCCTTCTCATGAAATAAGCATGATTGAAAAAGTGTTTAATTTCAACTGAATGCAAAAGATACGCAGTACTTCCTCATATTTGGGAAYTGTAGTGATGAGATTTGCTGTACAAGGATAAAGTGGTTTTTTTTTTTTTTTTTTAAATACATACAAATGATACTGGAAAGGTCAATGTCAGTACTTACAAAAGCATGGAGTGTGGCCAAGYAATGTTGACTAGGCCTTGCATGGATCTACAAATGCAACCCTGAACTGACCTGCAACAAACACCCAGATATTCCAATTTTGTTAAGAGAACCCCAAATGTTGAAACAAAACAGAGCCTTTCCAACCCTACTTAGCAAGGCCAGCTTTTTCTCCCACTCCTTGTGATCTGGATGGTTATCCACTGGGGATTAGGTTGAAATCATAAAACATGTTTTTACATGGGTGACCTTAGTCTGAAACTGTTATCATCCCCATTTGAGTAAGCAGTAGAGACTGAAAACAAAAACAATTACTAAAGAAAACTCCTTGGCTTAATTTTCTTTTAAAGAGGAAGCAAACCGTAGCTGACAAGCAAGTTTCCAAAACAAAGATTTCCTTAGTGTAATACTTTTGACACTTTGCCATCAACAGTGCTCTGTGCATGCCTGGGAAACCCTTGCAGAACTCAGTCTGAGGAACGGGCGACTGGTGAACTTGGTGCATGGAATCAGTAAGGATACGCGACTTATTGTGTACAATGTGGAGGGTTCAGAGCGTGTATTCCTCCCTTTATTTCCCCCCTAAAGAAGATGCTACTTGCTCATTAGAATGAAATAAGCTATTCCTTTCCACTGTGGCTGGAATGCCTCTCCCATGTGCTCCCATAAGGGCATGAGGGAAGCTGGCCTGCCATGAGGTATTAGTCCAGAGCCCACTGAAAGCTGAGGACTGCATGCCCAAAACTGCATGCCCTGCTGGTTAGGGAGGCTGCTGTACCCCAGGGGAAGGTCATTTGTCAGAGAGGCCTAAGGATAATGCCACTGCTTTGCCTCCCAGGAGGCTGTGTGAGGTTGTAAATGCAAACTTGGGAGTTGCTTGGGACTTGGGAGGTCCCCTGGCACTCTCTTGTTTTGGTCGCTCTAGTCTGCGGTTCCAGATTCTCCTCTGGGGGGAAAAGACAGAATTATGATTCTGCCTAATTTCTGTGAGAACATTGATGAAAAATACAGGGTTTTAAATTTTTTTTTTTTCTGGTGTGGGGCAGTGAGGTGGTTCTGTGACATGATGAAGAGATTAGATGCATCATCACTTGCATCTAATGGAGCACTTTACTGCTCCATGTCCTTTTGCCAGAGGTTACTTGATAATGTAAACTAGAGTAAAATAAGGATGAAGGATTTGTTGAGGAAAGCTGTAGATAACCAGTTTCTCTTCCCTGGCCATGGAAACAACTGGAATATATTATGTTGGAATGTGATAGTACGTCATGGTCATTAGTGACACCTTCGCTGCCACAGTGTACATCCTGCTGCTTCTGGTCCCTTTCCTCCACCTGCCCCTGCTCTGTGACACTTGTGCATTCTGTGATTTCTTCTACCAAGAGGGATAATAACCTGCTATCTACTTAGTTGTGTTCTTCTGAGATCCTGTTTATTCTATAATATATGTAGATCCTCTCCATGTTTGCAACACTGAGGAATGACATGTACCTCCAGGAAGCTGCTCTGATGTTGGTGGCTTCCCTTGCCTTTATTTCATTTTTGCCATGAGAAATGAAGGAACAGGGTTTCAGTATTGCAGTTAAATACTGCCAGTATTGMCTGATGAGGAGCAGGTGGATGTTGGTGGCTTACGAGACCAGGATTTGTCACTTGCTCTTCTTCTGACAAGATSCAGTGCAGAGAGGCAGAAGCTGGAGTACTGCCCAGTTATCGTAATTTCTGCTTTGAATTTAGCTATGATACAGTCATCCTGGAGAGACTACTGGGTTGATGAATACCACCAAGTAACCTTTTGGGAGTTTTAGCATAACAAATAAACTCTTTGCTTCATGCCCGAACATCTCAGATCAGTCACGGACACCTATTACAAGGTGTAAGGTTGCACTGCCCTACACRCTCTTACCAACACAGCTGGTAGCTGTTAGTCTGTGTTTTGTTTGTCTATCTTTTAGCTGAAGGAAAAAATTTTGGTTGATTTAGTTTGATTGGGAGAAAGTAATTATGAAGAAACCACACTGTCTTTGACTGTAAGCTGACTTTACAGAATATATATTGGGTAAAACTTGGTTTTCTGCTACTTTTGCACAGGATGTGACATTTTTGGCATGGTGCATGCATTTTTGTGTGTATTTTTTCACCTAGAAAACCCCATCTCTTCCCACCCATCAAGTGTACTGAAACTTCAGCATTTGT